GGGGGGGGGAGGGGAAGAAAAACTAAAAGAAAGGGTGTGCAATCCAGACGAGGAGATATTCAAAGCTTATCGACGAGATGCGAGGTGGAGAAGGAAGAAGGGTGGGCAACAAAAGAAAGGAAATTATGGAAACAGGGATGGGGATAGAATGTGCGATTACGTGCCTGAAAAAAAAAAGAGGAGGGAAAAAGTTAAAAAAGGCAGAAGGCAGCCCAGATTAGTAGACAAAACTGAAGGAAGAGTACTCTGCTATTTTTTTGTTGGCTTAAGAGTACTCTGCTATTTTTTTGTTGGCTATTATTAAGCGGGACGAGGACAGTGAACGTACGTTTCGACTGAAGGGTATTGAACTCGTAAGCTTCCCACTTGACAAGTGGACACTTGAATTTTTTTTATTTTTTTATTTAAAAAAAAATAGTATGTTGGACTGGGACTGGCTACAAAGCAGGCGGAGAATACTATAGCAAGTCCCAGAAACTGCCAACCTACGATGAACCGAATGGCATAAACTTCCGCCGCATAAGTCAATCCGAACCGAACGGGGAGGAGCGATGAAACATGAATCGCAGAGGAAAGAGGAAAACGAAATGGGCCTCGCCGCACCGGTCGCCAAACCAAACACAGCACCTTTGAACGAGTCTGAAGATGACGGAATTAAGTCCAGATACGTTCACATGTTCGCATTTGGAAAGTGGTGCGGCGAGGCCCAATGAATCTATAACATCTATAATGACGAGCCTGGCAATTTACTGAGAAAGAAAGAGGAAAGGGAGGAGTGCAGAGCGACCAGAAGCGGAATCTTTTTTGAGTAGACAGGGGGACCCAAACAAAGCAGGGAGGGTGTGTTATCTCAAAGAGGCAGGAAACCTAACAGGACACAGATCTTAAAGCCCGCCCCCCACCGTCTGGCAGCCCACGTAAAGACAGGTCGTCACGACAGTCGACCCTCCTGCATAAGAACTACTTAAGTCAATGCTCAGTTTTCCTTCAGCGTTCGTCAACGGAAAGAACGCCTTCTGCATTTGGTGTACATAAGAACTACTTAGTCAATGCTCAGGTTTCCTTCAGCGTTCGTTAACGGAAAGAACGCCTTCTGCATTTGGTGTCCGTAATTTCTTTAGCATGCGTAAGGACCCGTGCTGATGCTCCCCCCACAATCGAAAGGAGCCCTCCTAGGTGCCTCACTAAGCGCCTAGACTGGGACTGATGGGACTGATGGGACCGATGGGACCGATGGGACCGATCAATCGATCGGCTACGGTGAATGGAGAACAGCAAAGCTCTTGCCGTTATCTCTGACGGCCATCTACTACTACACTTGGACTGTGGCGAATACCATTCATAGGAACGAGACCGAGCTGAGACGAAAGCGATCAGTTGGGACAACAATTACCCACTGTACATTCTTCAACCGGAGACGCAGTTGCATCTTGCACACCTCTCCCGTGAGCGAATTCGGATAAAAGACTGAAGAACAGAATTGGTCGGATGTTTGTCCGCACCACAGGAGCACCAGTACGAAACCGGAGACGCAGAAGGAGCGACCGGAGAGGAGGAGTAGGAGTAGGAGTAGGAGTAGGAGGAGGAGGAGGAGGAGGGTGCATTAAACGAAACGAGCGAGTGAGCTGAGCTGAGATGAGGGTGAGGAGGAGGGTTCACGATTCGTCGGGGGTGAACTCCACTCACACACAGTGCGCAGAATGCTGTCCACACTGTGCAGTGGCAGTTATTTACAAAGTAATTTACAGCTGAGAGCAGCAGATCGAGCCCAAGAGACGGACATCACACTTTCGATAAAGATAACCTGCCCTCCCCCCCACCACAAAGTCCAACTGCATCAAAAAGACAATAGAGGGTGGCAAAGCCATGGTGTGTGCCAGGGCTAGCAATATGAATCGTAGGATCTAGGGCTGGCGATACGATCTAAGCGGCTAGCAAGTGGGGGTTGTATCCAAATCCACAAAGACAGAACTTACCTGCCTGGAGGTTTCACGAAAGTGACAGAGAGACAACCCAACCCAACCCAACCCAACCCAACCCAACCAGGCTGGCTTTGCCGCAGCGTATATATCGCAAGTAGCGCCTGTGAATACCGCCTGCATTCATAACGTGCAAGACGGGCATAAAGAGCAACAGGGACAAAAAGCGCAAGATGGCCGAAAACCGCAGCACGGCCAAAACGTGTGCGCATCATCGCCGAAAAGCGCAAAATAGTCAGTTCGTCAGAAGAGGAGGCGGAGAGAGAGACACAGGAAGGTGGGGTTTGAACGGGGCTGGCAGAGCAGAGTGACTTTTGGCACTATTTGGGGGCGAGCAGCTTGAGATAGCCCACGCCAGCCCACACAGGCCTACCGCCTTCACCCGAGTAGAGCGCCCGGTCGTTATCGCTGCATCGGGAGTGACAATTGCCCTAGATACAGCTATAATGACCGGGCACTCTATTCGGGCGAAGACGGTAGTCAAGCTTCAGACGCAGGAACTATAAGAGGCAGCCAAAAGGGCAAGCTCTAGCCTCAGGTCCTGCCTGGAAGGCTGCTTCCGAAAGAGCAAAGGCACGACAACAGACTAGCTGTACAATATCTACGGCATTGGCAAGGCTGAATATAGGATCCTGCGCACACTGGAGACGTGTGTCGCGATCCACTCTGTCTTCCACCCACACCCCCCCCCCCCCCCCCCCCCCCCCCCCCCCCCCCCCCCCCCCCCCCCTCCCCCCTCCCCCCCTACCCAACTACAACGCCCTGGGGAGCGTTGCAAAACTAATTGCCGGTGCAGTCATCTGCAACAGCAGGGCAGCGTTGAAACAGTCGGCAGCCTCGGCCTTGCGTCCCTCCTTCTTGTGAAGCAGACCAAGCGTGTGCCACGCGAGATGGTCCGTCGGATCGATGTGCAGCGCATCGGTCAGGTAACTCCTTGCCAAAGGAGCAGAGGAAGCTCCCCCTTGACTCAGCAACACACCCAGTCTGATCATACTTGGAGCATGCGTGGGATCCATAGCAAGCGCATTCTCGTAGGCTGCATAAGCCTCGTCTTTGTTGTCGCCCGCCTGAGCCTCCTCTAGCAGCCCCGTAACGTACCAATGGCCCGGCTCATAACGAGAAAGGCACGGATGATCGACGCATGTGTCAGCGTCATCCCACTGTTCCAAGGCAATATACACCTGGGCAAGGTCCATCCACACATCCGTCTCCCTCACTCCCTCCTCCTGGTCGCTCTTATTGACCGAGTGCAGATCAGATGCCTCGCGTGCATGGGGTGCTGATCGTGGAGTCCTGGGTCCTGCCGGTTCATCCATCGTTAAGCACGCCAGCTTCCTCTTCGCTCTGATTTCCATAAGACTCAAAAGCCTCTTGTATGTTCCCAGAGCCGACTTGTACTGCAGTGCCGCCACCTGGATCTTACCCAACGTTCGCAGCAACAGCCCCTCCTCGGATTTGCAAGTAACCGCTTCCATCCCTGCATTGCATGCCTCTATGGCATCTTCCCACCTCTGCTGCGCCGACAACAGGAGGGCAAGAAGGCGCCACGATTTCACATGAGTGCCACCACTCCATTCGAGAGAATCTCTGACAAACTGCATCGCGGGAACTATACGCCTCACTTCAGCATACTGCAATGCAAGATCATACATCATGTCCACATCCGACGGTTCATAAGCCACCGCCTCACTCAGAGCCCGCAGTGAACGTCCTTGTAGATCCTGACGCTCCGTGTCTGACAAAGCCGCCCTCGCAGAAACACCCAGCACCACTCCCAGGACATGATACGCTTTCCCCTTCAGGCCTTCGTAACTCCCGATCGCCTGTTCGACAGCCCTCTCGGCCCACGGAAGGCCCTCGGTGGCAAGCTCCGCGTTGCGCGAACACAGTTTACCAGCCAAAAGAAGGATCGGAACGTCATTTGGCGATTCTCTGAGGGCTTTGCTCACCAAATTCATCACCAAATCATAGTTCCCTTCACCCAGATGACTCAGCGCGAGGCTATACCATCGCTCCGGCCGGCTGTAATTCCCCGGCATGGTCTGCTCATACAGCTCTGCGAGCAAGCCAAACTGCTCGGATGTCGACAGGCCAAAACAGAGATGCTCCATGGCAGCGGGATCCCAAGCCTCCTGCTGAGCAAGCATCAACAGGAGGACCCCCTCCTCGATGTTGTTCGCAGGCACGAATTGTGATCGACTTCGGTCGTCAAGCAAATCTGGGTTGCTCACAAGCGGAGGCGCCTCACAACCCCCATACAGAAGCTCTAGGGCCAGCTCCTTTTTCACAGCAAGCCTCAGTAGGGGTTTCACCGATATTGGGCTGACAAGTGCATGCCGATACGCATTTATCGCTCGTCTCAGCTCTCCGGCTTTTGTATGAAGGCGGGGAAGCAAGACACATGCCTCCATGGCCAGTTCTATGAACTCGTCAATTACCCAATCTGACACCGGGGGGGCAAAGAACCCATTCGGAAACACTTCCTCGACAGCTTGGATCACCTGCTTGCACAGTTCAGCAGCATCTGCAGTTGCATGGAATAAGGCAAACGCGCACGCACCAGAGTCATAACCTCAACCCAGCCCAAAATCCACACACTTTTTCATTCAGAGGCCCCAATCAATACGAGCGCGCATCACGAAGCATGCATACTATGTCCGCTCGTACATACCATATCATCGATTCATTATCAATTGAAATATATCTTCAGCCACAGGATAGCATGGACCACCACCTGCTAAGAGAACTGAGCAGCATCCACCACCACGTTGGGAAAACACGCAGCACTCATCCTGCCCAATCACTGCCCAATCACACTGCCCGAAACTCACCGTTGTTCAGAGGGTCCGATAAGTGCATCACAGTGCCTGCTGTCTGCACGTATCCTGTCATTGCAAAAGACATCTGTACCATCTTCCCCCGAATAGAACACACGGCCATTATATAGCTGTGTCCGGGGCAACTTGCACTCTGGAGACAGCGATTTCGACGGTACGTTCCATTCGGAGGAAGACGGCAGGCCACGGGGCATCGTCAGTTAAAGGACCAGTACACATGGCTGTGCCGGCAACCGGCCGGTTGGACCGGCCCGGATCCAACCGGGCCGGTTGGACCCCCGGTGGTCCAACCGGAATTCCGGTTGGGTCCAAAAGTGGGTCAATTTTTTTTATTTTTTTTTGTTTGAAAACATGGTTGGACTGCGCTCACCGATATCTCCCCGAATCCGCAAAGAAAACTTTGAACAGAGAAGTTTCGTTTGGGGGGTTGGGGGGTTGGGGGGGGGGCATTTCAGGGGTTGAGGGTCGGGCGTTGGGGGGTTTATGGTGAGGGTGTTAGTGGTGGAGTTTCAGCACGGGCTTCAGCAGACATTGACAACAACGTACCTGGCTTTCTGCAAACGTTGACGTTCTGCCCAAGAACTTTGAAGAGGGGGTTGGGGGTGTTAGTGGCAGGGTAGGGATGGTACTTCCCACCCAAAAACTTTGAAAAGAAGGGTGGGGGTTATAGTGTTAGGGGGTGCTTGTCACTGCTGTCTGGTGACTGCCCTCAATACTGGTAGGGCGATGGTCCTGACACTGAGGTAGGGTAGTAGGGATAGGGGGTGCGCTGGGAGCATTAACGTGGGGAAGGGTAGGGAAGGTGGCCTATCCTGTCAGGACACGAACAGATTGACAAATACACAGACATACAGAAGATTGAACAGACAAACAGACAAAAGACAAACACACACAGAAAGTTAGCCGGTCGTGGTGGTTTTTTTTTTTTTTCACAATGATTTCATTTTATTGAATTTATTCATCCACAGTTCCAACCAGGTCATGGGTGTACCAACTGAGCTAGGCTCACAAGTATCACCTCGTATTATTATTATTACTCTTTGTAAATTATAAGCCTGCGTAGCATCACGCTCGGGCTCGGTGACCGAACCCGAACGCTCGGTACCGAGTGCGGACGTGGCCCAAAATAGACCGAGCCCGGATATTTTTATTTTTCATTTTTTAATTTTATTTTATATTTTATTTATATATATAGGGGTTGGGGACCCCTGGGGGGCGTTGCTCATCACTCCTGAACATAGACACACATGCACACCACACACAAGCACACACACACACACCCCACAGACACCCCACACACACTCCACACACCACACACATATGAGGACGTGCTCGGCAACCCCCTAATTTGCGCTGGGCCGAACATGTTCAGTTCCCGCTCGGCCCAGCGTCCGAACATGTTCGGCTGCTCGGTGGGGCGCCGAACATGTTCGGTGCGCTACACAGTTATAAGCATAGTTGCGGCGCACCTCGGTGCACGGATTTGCGCACGAATTGCGCACCGCACAGCGCACCGAAGCGCAGCGCACTGGAAAAATTAGGTCCACAAAAAAAAAAAAAAAAAAAGAGAGTAGGGGTTTCGTAATTTCTTAGGGCCCCCAACTCGGCAAAAATGTTAAACTCTCCGCGCGAGCTCAGAAACCGGCCGCGCCCCCAGCTCGAAATTTCTTTTGGGTAAGGGCTGCCAAATTTCGATTTTCGCAGGCCCTTCCCCCAAAAGTATCAGAATGGCGAAGCATAAAATACTTAAATAATAGGGCTCATTCCATCTTTTTTTCAGGCGGGGTATGAAAGATGTTCTTCCCGCTCCCTTCTGCAAATCCCACACAGTGGTGGGGTAAGTTCGCAAGAAGGGGTAGTCGCCTGATAACGACCTGCCCCGCGAAGCTTCGCAGAGATCACAAGTTCCGTTTTCTATGGCCAGCCGACCACCAATATATGCTGAAGATTGGCGTTCAGGTCTGCATGTCGGCAGTTATGGGTTAGGATGACGATGCCCGTGGCTCTCTCGTTTTCTTGTTTTTGTTTTCTTACGAGTACGTCCAGTGGGGCCTGCTCCACTACTCACCAAATGCACAAAAGACATAGCATATGGCGGTGTATGGTTCCTTTTTTACCAGATGATCCACTCTACTAATATTATATGCATTTGGCCCTGAGAATCACGTGGAGATACGAACAGGTTCTAGCTGAACTGGTGACCCGTAACTGCCGAGCTACAGCCCTGAACTCGAATCCACAGCATATATTGGTGGTCTGCCCCCGTGTCTTTCATGCATGACGAGGCCATCCTTCTCATTGAAGCAGCGGCCCTCAATGGCTTGACATGAGTTGTAGGAGCCATTCGAGGTACCTGCAGGGGCCCTCGAATGGACATAAAGGGGACCATTTGTTGTCCTTCTCTCTCTCTCTCTCTCTCTCTCTCTCTCTCTCCTGGGGCCTGTCTTTTTTTTTTTTTTTTTTCGTGCACATAGCGCACCTCCCTCAGCGCGCACACCGCGCACAGCGGACCGCACTGCGCACGGCGCACAGTGCGCGCGCTGTCATTCCATGGCGAACTTTATCAGAAGCTAAGGGCCTGGCTCCACTACTTTCCCTCTGCTGCTATCTCGATTGGACTCTCGATTGGACTCGTGAGTTGCAAATTCGAGAGGAGAGTCAGCGGCGCCCTTTCAAGAGAGCACTCTCATCGGAAGGAGGAGAGCGAGGCGCCTGCACAAGCCGTATTTGGTGCACTTATCAGGGAGCAGAGTGAGAGAACAGAAAGACGGGTGGAGAGAGAGAGAGAGAGAGAGAGAGAGAGAGAGAGAGAGAGAGAGAGAGAGAGAGAGGGCTACCTTGAGGCTGATTTAACTGATCCAGACATTTGGCTCTGCATACAAATGCGTACAGCAGCGCTGTGGCAGAGCGAGGTGCCAAGAAGATGCGAACATTCTCAGGCTTGTTCCTTGTGCGCTTCGAGCGTTTCAAGAGTTCAATGGTTTTCTGAAGCCGGTTCTTCACGCTCGTCAAATCCAGACCGCGTAAAGCCTCGAGGGCCCCCTCGTAATCTTGCCTCTCGAATCTCGATCGCCCTCGCGAAGCCACTTGCTGAAAACGAGCATGAGACAAAATGAATCCGTCACATCGCAGGCAAGTAAGCGAGTGTTCATACAAGCACACATTCACCCCAAAAAGTCTCATCAGTCTGAATCCAGAGCCACTAAAAGCCTGCACTGCAGTTCACCTTCTTCCTGAAAACGTGCACGAGTCGAGACTCGAAAGAGAATAAATCACATTGCAGGTAAGGCTATCCTCCTCACACTAGGCACTTTCATGGACGTATCTGACCGCGATTCCAGACAGGTTCAATTCAAAAAGTCCTAGCGCCACTCCCTGGACATGGGCGAAAAACTGAAAATGAACTTCGAATGAAACATCAATTGAATCCCAGGTAAGTGCGGGCATACTCAAACTAGCACATTCACGCATGCATCTGACCGCAGTCACAACCAGATTCAGTCCTCACACTACCACATCCACAAACGTATGTGACTGAAGTTACAACCAGGTTCAGTTCATGAAGTCCTGTGCGTTAAAATACCCTTACTGGGTCGGTTGTACATACTCCATCATCCTCACACGAGCACTTTCACAGACAAATCCGACCGCAGTTGCAGCCAGGTTCAGTTAAAAAAAAATGTCCTGCAAGCGTCACGGATGAATCTGACCGCAGTGACAGCCAGGCACAGTTAAAAAAAAAAGTCTTGTGTTGGGCGTAAATGCGGCCAGATACATCCCAAACGGTCCAAGCATGAGTACGACCTCGCACAATGGCCCTTTTTTTTTTTTTTTTTTTTTTTTGCAACACACAATGGCTCTTAGCCTTGGACCACCGCAAGCGACAGGGGAAGGACAAGGGATATGTTATTAGGGTGCGACTAACTCACATTTGGACATCCGTGGACGTACCTGACCGCAATTACCACCAAGTTCGGTCGAGAAACTCAGATATTCCCACCACAAGCGACAGGGGAAGCGCAAAGGGATATGTTTTTTTTTTGGGAACCCCCCTCAGAAGACCTTCTCTCCCCCCCCTCCCCCCCC